GGAATTCATTTGTTTAGTCAATTACCAAAATTTGGATGATTTTGAATATTCACTTGAAAAGTTATCAAAGAAAAACATTTTTCATTTTGTAACTTCGAGGGCCCGTAACTTGGTTACGAAGACTTTTAGGAAAAAAAGTTATATGAAGTACTGGTGATATTTTGACCCCATCTATACATTCCCGAGAGGAAAAGAGGAAGTCCAGGGACACCCTGTATAAAGTATACAAACCAAAAATAGGGAGAGGAGAAATAAAAACTGTCAAGAAAATGTGGGAAAAAATATCAATTGATTCATCCAATAGATTTAGAATCACCATTGGCCCATCAAAATGTGAGAATAAATTTGAAGTGTTGGAGAGATCCTATGAAAAAGAAGTAGACAATAATAACAAAACAGGAAGAGGTAGAAAGGATTTTCCATATGAAAATGAATTCAATGTAATTTTTGGCAAAAAGTTGAATATAACACCAAAAATATTATTAACTTCATCTGAGGTAATAGCTCCTTCTAGGATAGCAACTGAAATCTCAGGTTCAACACAAGAAAGTCAAAATTTACCTGTGAAAAATACACCTTCAACATCTTTGAATAATGAAGAAAATGATCATACGCCCTACCTTATCCTACACAAAGAGAAATGATATATTAATAGATATTGAAAATTATTTAAAAACGTACTATGCTGAAAAGCTAAGTTTACAAAAGCAGAAACTTGAAATGGTGAAGAAAAAGCTGGAAAACAGGAAAAAAGAATCAAAATATTGAAACAGTGTTTTGGTATTGACAATACTGTCAGCTCTCCATAGTTATTAGATACTGGTATTCTGGTGAATTCGGAGATGAAAAATCTATTCTTAATTTAGAAATAGGCATAGTTCAATTATTGAGATTGTGGTTATACTTTAATACAGCCTCTTTCTTGAGCAAAAAATATTTTTTTATGTACTGAAATAATAGGATCTTCAGTTAGCTCATCACATGATTTCCCTTGGTATACATCAGACATTTCCAGTGAAAAAGATGTATTTATGCTTCACATTGATTCAAATTTGTATCAAAATACCATAATAATGTGCTATATATATGATTTAATGAAATTTGATAATTTATCAACAATTTTGAAGCAATAAATGATATTTAATTTACTGAATACAGCTTTACATCATTAAAAATAATCTACATTACACTTAATTTACATGAAAAAATTAAAAATAATCTAAACATTTAAAATACTAGCTATGTAGTTTCAGAAAGCATGGCCTGGTTTGTTCTGACCTTCATTAGTTTCTTCATCTTCTTCATCTGCTACTAAATTATCTCTTACAATAGCTTCACTTGTCTAATACAAACTGATATCCTCATCAATAGTTAGATTATATAAAACACAGCAAGCTCTAATTAGGTGGCAAATGTTTTCAATTTTTGTCAATTTGACATGATACAACATCCTGAATCTTTATTTGAGTATACTAAATGTGTGTTCAATTACCTCTTAATTTTCTGTTATACTCTTCCTCAGTTACACATAATTTTTTTCTGAATTCAAATGGTATTAATAAATGTCTTGCATGGATAGGCACTGTCTCCTAAAATGTAATTATCACCACATTTTTCTTCAAGAGATGATGCTTGAATCCTGTACTAATCCAGGAAATCCAATGAGTATGTATCTGATTCTTTTTTCATGGTCACATACAGCTTGCACATGCAAAGAAATGTTCATTGAAGAAGTTCTTACACATGAAACCAAGTACATACACATAACCAAATATTCAAAAAAATTTAACTTCAAAAGATAATGAAATGATCTCTAGCCACACACAAATGTTACTCAGGTAATATATTTTTGCAGCCCATATAGTTGTGTTTATTCAGAAAGTTATATTTCAAAAACAAAAATTTCATATATAAAAAATATAGGTACATGTTTAAACGTAATTTGTGAAAATTTGAAAATAAAAAGGAAATATCTAGAAATCTACGGAAATACATGCCGATATGTATAACTAATGGGAATACTTTGAATTTTTAGGTTGACACGATATGAAAATATCTTTCTAAAAGTTCTAAAAATTTTTAACATCCTTGCTCACTTACATGAATAGAATAATAAGATACAGGATCTTCAGAGGGGGTATCAATTTTGATGAAGCTGCCATCTATGACTTCCTTAGCACGTGGAAACCCCATGGTTTTGAAATGTTCAGTAATTTCTAATTTTTTTTCATCAGTAGGCCACCTGATAAATTTTTCTGACAAACCAGAAATGAAGTATGATACTCCTTCTATAATATGCAGTTTACTTATTGTAACATTGAACCTGTCTGCAACATCTCGGAATCCAACAGCCTAATGTCCAGTGAACCACAAAAATATCTGGATGAACTTTTCAGGTGGGATAATTTCAAATCCAGTGCTACATTTAGAAAAACTTTCCGATTCTTTCAGTAGTAAGGCCGGTTGAGAGACTCACTTTTCTGTGCACTCTACAAAATGAATATTTTCATTATCGGCCATTATCATTGAATATAATAATAATCATAATGAAATACAGTGTATCTATCACTCACACAAATGAAACAAACTTCAACAAAGGTATGAGCATAACATTTTTTCAACAATATCAATATACCTAAAATGCTGTTTGAATTCGTCTTTATTAAACAAGGCCACTGTAGTTTCACTAAATTATTCGTTTTTTGGGCAGTGTCTCAAAAGTTCCGCAGTACTTAGAATTTGAAGAATTGGTTCATCATCGTCTGAAGGTGAGAATGATGATGATGAAGACAAGAAAATACTGTTGATCATGTCCATTTTGTTATGTAGCGTATCCTTGTAGTCAGTTCAAATGTTATCTAACTAACCTCAAATAGCCCAAACAAATTTTCACATGAATGCGTATGAGCAGCGGGAACAGTTCTCGACAGTTCAGCCACGAGAGCAAGAACGATTCGGGACGGTTCAAGTCAGTTTAGGATTTTTTCGCAGTCGAAACCAGAACAGAGGATTCGTCGATCCAAACTTGTCCTCAATAAACCAGAACGTTCTATATCAACTGCGGATGATCCTGACGTCCTTGAACCTGAATTTCGTAGAACCAGAACCAAACAAACATTTTCAATAAAAATAATATTTTTGAAGACTGTAAACTTGCCCCGACTATTTGCTACATAACTATGCATTTTCTCCATTTATGTAAAATAATTATAGTACTTAGTTGGATAATAAAAGCAGCGTTCTATGAACGGATATAATAATCCTAAAAAGTCTGCTGACCCATCATTATACACTTAAATTTCAATTTATTATGAAATGGTTTGATTTCTATTGAGCTTCGCTTGATACAATAGAAACTGTGGCTACGTATGTTTCAGGATGTGGTAATTGGTTTTGAGTTCTTGGTATCCCTGCGAAGTTATATTAAGTGACGTAGTGAAACAAAACGAGTTCTCAATATCACCCGTCGTCATTACTACAAGTATATACAGTGGGTTCATGTTTAAACTAATTTTATAGTTTCCATCATCTAGCGAAATACGGATGACGAAAACTCACACACAACATCCCCAAAAGCTTACTGTGCGGGCTGGTATAGTGGGTTCCCGAATTATTCCTCTTCTTGATAGGAGTATTGGCAGATTACTAAATAAAAACTATTGAGCCGTCTCATAAATGCTGCAGGAAATTTGACAGTAAGATAGTGCGTCTCCACATTAGGAAGGAAAACACATAAACATAATGAAAAACACAAAACATAATGAAAAGGAAAATCTGTGTTTGTATCCAAGATTTAACGATATAAGTCTGTTAGAAAAAGATGAAACAATGATTGCATCACAACAAATAAACTCGTTTATATATGTAAAATATAAACAAAATGATGTAATAGCTAACTTGTTTTCACTTATTCTCTCGCCCCCAGCCGCCCCATATTTATATATGACAACCCTCTACTTGTGATACCATATCTAAAAGCTATTAAGAAATGTTCTTTAAGGATCTCCTACAAAGCTAGATTCAATATAGTGAGTTTTTGTTTATAAAAAAAACACTATTTGTTTAGATTAAAATTTTATTTTTTATCATTATTTCGAAAAATGTTTGAAAACATGCTTATTACCATCTTGGCATCAATATTAAGACTCTTAAACATTTTATGCCTGTAATATTTTTGTTTATTTGACCTGAAAAAATTTGACTTAGTTGATAAGTAAAAACAACAAAAAAGGCGGTGTTTGAAATATTCCTTTTTGAGAGGTATTTTCGTATTGTATTTTTTATTTCAAGATGAGAAACGATACTTTTATTATTGATATATTTGATTATTATTTCAATAAGTTGTACACGGGAAATTTGTATCTGCAAAAATGGTGTACAACACAGCTGAACGTGTGAAAATGATTTTCATCAATGGTATAGAACAACTAAATTATTTAGCCACAGGCACCCGGAGAGAAATGTAAGTCATGTATACATTCGCCAAATAGTATCAAAATTTCAAGAAACTGGTATTGTAACGAATAAAAACGGGATCAACCAAGATTACTGGACGAATCACCGTAAATTGAATTACTCGGATAGTTTGCAATGAATCATACTTTATCGACTCGTCAGGGAGCTACAGCAACCGGATTATCCCGCGAATCTGTAAGGAAAATACTCAAATAAGAACTTGGAGACGATGACCCAGACAGAAGAATTGCTTTTGTCTTCCACCACATAAAGAAAATCGTAAAAAGTCTCTCACTTCACTCATCAAGAAGAACATTTCCAATGCCTGTCCAGAAATTTCCATCAACAAATTCGAGAATCGATCTAAAAAAAAAACAAATTTCTCAAAATCTGTAATAAATAAAGTTTCGTATGGCCATCTCACCTCGGCAATCCGTATTTTGACTTCAACGGACAGTTTTGCAGATTTTGATGATATAACGTTAACTAAACTTCAAGCTAAACATCCCGCTGACTATACCTGACACAAACTGTACTCCACTCCAAGTTGATAAAAAACAAGTCTTGAAAGCACTGGTTCAGCAGGAGGAATAGACTCCCTCAGACCTTCCCATTTACAAGACTTGACATCAAAAAGTTCTGGTTGTAAAGGGGAAAAGCTTCTGTCTTCTTTGACTTCTTTATGTAACTTTTTGCTGGGCGGTCGACTGAATCCCGATATTTATCCTATTTTGTATGGTGCCTCTTTGATAGCATTAAAAAAAAGGTGGTGGCATTCGCCCCATTGCTAATGGTACCATTTTTCGTCGCCTTGTAGCGAAATTATTTTGGATTGATGTTTCTGGTGTTTTAGGAAATTTATTTCGTCCTGTTCAATTTGGTTTTGGAACTCCAGGGGGATGCGAAGCAGTTGCACATACTGCACGTCTCTTTTTAAATGAGCATTCCAATCCATCTTCTCAAATTTTTGTTAAACTAGATTATAAAAACGCCTTCAACATGATTCACAGAAATATCATTTCACAAAAAACCCACGAAATTATTCCTCACCTTTTGCCTTTTATCAACCAATGTTATCGAAATTCAACATTTTTGGACTTTGGAAAAAATACTATCTTATCTCAGAGAGGGGTTCAACAAGGCGACCCTCTAGGTCCTGCTCTTTTCTGCCTCACTTTGAATGAACTGACAAAGTCTATCAACACCAATTTCAATTGCTGGTACCTAGACGATGGTTCAATTGGTGGTAATATAGATTCTGTTCTCCAAGAATTTCAAAAAATAATTTATCTCTCTAATGATATTGGACTTGAATTAAATCTCGAAAAATGTGAAATTTTTGCCCCTTTTCAGCTGCTTACTAATCTTTTCACAATAATTTTTCCACAAATTAAAATTGTCCCAAAACACACTGGTCTTTACTGGGAGCTTCTCTCTCTGTAGAACTGTAGAGTCTTTATCACGTTGTCTCACACAGAAAACGGAGTTTCTAATTCTACTGTCATCTCGTCTCGATAGTTTTCCTTCCCATATAGCATATTTTCTATTGAAATACTGTTTGGCAATCCCCAAAATATTGTATACCTTGAGATGCAGTCCAACTTGGATATGTCAAAAGGAGTTACAAGAATTCGATTCCACCTTACGCCAATCTTTATACAAAAAATTACCAATAATAAATTCGAAGATATCACTTGGAGTCAAGCTACTCTCCCAACAAAAAATACCCTTCCCAAAAATAAAAAGTGTCAGAAAGCCTGAGATTATCCAATGATCAATTTGGTTCATAATCAACTTCGTGAGTCAGCTGAACGTTTCGATATTCAAATGGCTAGACTCAAAGCTGTTATGTCCAAAGAATCTAGTGCCTGGCTAAATGCTCTTTCCGTGGCTTTTTTGGGTACCCTCTTAGATGATGCATCTTTTAGGATTTCGATAGGTCTTCGGTTAGGTTCTTCAATTTGTGTTAGTCATAAATGCAGATGCGGAACCACTGTAGAAGAAAATGGTTACTATGGCCTAAGTTGTAAAATCAGTTCTGGCAGGTTTTCAAGACATTATTCCATTAATGATCTTATAAAAAGAGCTCTAGCTACTGCAGAGGTTTCTTCAGTTCTTGAACCCCTTGGTGTTAGTCGAGATGATGGAAAGCGTCCAGACGGGATGAGTCTAATTCCTTGGAAATTTTGAAAGCATCTGGTTTGGGACTTCACCTGCGTGAATACAGTTGCAGCTTCACACCTTGCCGCTACGTCTAATTTCACTGGTGCAGCTGCTATGATTGCAAAAAAATCAAAATTTCGGAAATACTCCACTTTGCTGAGTTCCTACTGTTTCTTTTCTGTTGCTATTGAAACCTTTGGTGTTTTTGAATCTCATGCTTCTGAAAGCAATTGAAAGAAATTGGTAGAAGAATGATGAATTCTACCAGTGACAACCAAGCCTATTCATTTTTAATTCAAAGAATCAGTATCGCCATCCAAAGGGGTAATGCCACATCGATATTGGGTACTCTTCCGTCTACTCAAAAATTAGATGAAATATTCCAGAACCCACAAATCAAATCAAAATTTCCTATAAACATCGCAAAATGGAGTAAGCAGATTGATCACTTCCCAATTGTCTCAGAAGATGCAGAGGAAAATAAACAAGTTCTGGAATTATCTTCCTCTCCCAAATTCGAAAAAACCACCATCAATATATCTGATTCAGTTTCAAGAAATTTAACTTCAAATTCCTCATTCCGTTGGTCCAATGATGGGAAACATCATTGCATCCGTGATTACTGGAAAGAAAACAGCGCTGGCGAACGTATCACCAACAGCTACAACACAATTGGATCAGTGATACGTTCCTCAGTCAAAACCCTTGGGCTTAATGAGTTGAAAAATATTGGCAACACCTGTTTCATGAACAGTGTAATCCAATGTTTATCCAATACGAGATGGCTACTGGAATACTTGAAAAAAGATGAGTACATGAAAGATATCAATATTAATATTTCTAGTTCGGAGGGTGCTTTAATCAAAGCTTTTGCAGAAGTTACCAAGGAATTGTGGTCAGAAAATTCATGTGATAGAGCAGTGAACACAGTCTCCTTAAAAAGTCAGATTCAGAGTTTTGCCCCTCGATTCATGGGTCATGCGCATCAAGACGCCCAGGAGTTCCTTCGTTATCTTTTAGAAGGCTTGCATGATGACATTAATAGAATTATTGAGAAACCTAAACCGACTTTAACGGAGATTAACGAAAAATTGAGCGACAACGAAAAAGCACAAAAGTCATGGCTGATTTATTTGAATACATATAACTCTAAGATTGTAGATAATTTCGTTGGTCAATTAAAATCCACGATGTGGACACTCATCTGTAACCTTCGATCCTTTCTGGGATTTGTCACTCCCCATACCAGAAAGAACTGACCAATTGAGTTTATCACAGTGCTTGGATTTTTTCACAAGAGAGGAAACTTTGGATGGACATGAAAAACCGACGTGTTCAAGTTGCAAAGAAAGAAGAAAATGCACAAAGTCTCTATCGATCCATAAGTTTCCCCATATTTTAGTTATTCATTTTGAAAGATTTTCTCTAACAGAAAGATTTAGAGGCAAGTTGAATGTTGCCATCGAATTTCCTGTAGATGGATTAGATATGAACTATTATGCAGCAGATAGTGTGACTACTTGTCGCTATAATCTATATGCACTTTCGAATCACAGTGGGTCTACTTACAGCGGACATTATACAGCATTCTGCAGACTATAATGGCACGTGGCACGAATACAATGATTCACAAGTGTCACCAATTTCACCAAAATCGCTTGTGAGTGGAGATGGATACATCCTCTTTTATGAAAAGGAGGTAACGAGTTCGCACCTTTGAACTTTTCGTAAAGTTATTTTTGAACTGTTCATTTTAATGTTATGTATTATCTAGTTAAATGTTTTAATAAAAAAAATATTTCGACAATTTTCAATACTTCTCGCAAATAATTACTGTTAAATCATTTCTAAAGGAAAATTGTGCTGAAACGTAGTCTTTTCACATATTTTTCTTGTCATATGGTTGACTAACAATAAATACATTGGATTGAGACCTGAATTCTAAAGTACCTTTGTCAAAAAGCGAATATTTGCAAGTAGTACGTCTCAAATGATTCATTTCATTCAACCATCCGGGAGCAATGACTTATTCCAGAACGTGACCAAAATAATAAATTGCATTATAATGTGAAAACACTAGGTTTTTGCTTGTATCGGGAAGCAAAATGATTTGTCGTAGCTGAACTCGATACTGGCATCATTCAATTCAATTCAGCACCTGAAATATGGTTGTTGAAAATGTTGCACCTAAGCTGTTTCAATAGATTACCATGATGAGAAATCAGCCAAGAGTAATTATCCACTTTGTTATCCTCCATGCTTCTTCTGCATTTCCATTTGCTAATCCATAAATGAAGTGCATGCCAGCCATTTCAGCGTTACTAAAATTATTCATAATGGAATCACTGATAATTGACAACTCTGACTTTCACTGATATGACAACACTATCACTGTCAGCTGATCTCCAAAGCAGGTGTTCATGATATGAGTGGCTTCAATTTTTTTTCTCGAAAACGAAGTTAGATATGAAGAAAACACAAGCGACAAAAAAATCATACTTTTTGTTGACTAATCTTAAAAAATTAAAACCTAGAATAAGTCAGTGGCGCGTACTTTTTTCCAATATTGTTGGTTGTGGTGCCCACTGAGACTACACTGGACCTAATAATTTCATTCTAGTTAGGACTAAATACACGCCTTATTACTTCAAATAACTGTAGCAAATTTCAACTAAATCGGTGGTAAGAATATTTATGATATTTTATAAATGCCGTTGTTTTAAGTTCAACTCCCTGTGTCTCAAAAACGAAGCAACTCCGGACATTTGTTCATAAGAACTTTTTTTTCTCAAAACTGCCTTACGAATAACCCTCTGAACTTTCGTACCGTAGAGTTAGGAAACACCCTGTATTTCAGTTTTTCTTCAAGTATAGGCTGGTATTTTATAAACTTTGACTTCACTGAGTGTACTGATTTTCTTAGTAAATAATATTTACTTTTTCACGCAACTCTTGAACGAGATATTGATAGATACATTTATTGAAATTTTCGAATTAAACATACTGAAAACTTAAGTAAGTAAGATATAAATATATAAATATAAAATATAACAAAAATGTATCACAGGTTTATCAATTCGTGGAAGTATATGTCTCGTGAAATCTGATAATTATTTTGGTATATAAATGGTTTAGCTATATAATTTTTCCTATCCAGATGTGTGAAACACATTGAAGTATACCGTTTCAAAAACTATTGATTCAAAAATCAGAAGATTAGTTGGACGAGCTCTACTCGAATGTCTCATGAATGAAGACAAATGTGGAACAATTTTGATGGATATTCTGGTATCTTGACCACAAATCTTTACCATCCAATGCAAAATATTTTTTCAACTACTAAAAATGAAACATTAAAAATAAATAAAAAAAAAAAATTTGATCGACTTTCTATCTGTCCGGTTGATTGGATGGTCGTCTGTCATATGATGAAAACCGTTTCAGAAATATTGGCAATGTTAGTTCTCCATCAGGACTCGATAAGTATTGCTATACATGAGAGTAGTGATCCATACCGTTTTAAATCATCAAAAGCTGCTGAAAATTGAAGTGAATGGCACGAAAATATTTTTTTCGATGTTTTTTGAAGATATACTCATGAAAGTTTTGCTGTTCTACATATTCATTATTGTTTTCCATACCAAATTCGTGTCTAGGGTCTGAAGTTTTTATTAATCAGAATCTTTTTGAAATGTTTCAAACCAAATGTCTTATATAGACAAGGAAATAGCCGTATATCAACATGAAGATGAACTGACTCAAGAGAATGCGTGAAATGGGTCTTGGAATGCCTGTTAATTTTTCCAGTTTATGGTATGACTGGCTTTTGTCGATAACTCCCAATGTTTACATTTTTAGGATCAAGTATTATCCATCCGTACATCCGACTGGACAGTGCTAGTGCAAATTCTTATTTATATCATCACTTTTTCTAAAAAATGTATAAAGAATCCTGGTACCGATGTCTCGAAGGTAGCTGCATCTCTGTTAACGTTTTTGGAATCTTGTAGTGTTCCTTTAACTGAGACCACAAATGTGGTAACTTAGACCAAATTATTCAATATGTCTTAATTTTTTATTATACTCGCCAATTTTTTGCTGTTGAGATAAAAATGAAATATCATCTAATCATAACTGTAGAAACTATAAATGAATATGCCCCTATACATTAGTAAACCATGGATTACTCGCTACTGAACGGTTAAATATAGTGTTTGAAAACTGCCGAAGGTGATGTCCCAAAAAGCATTCTACGTCCTTACCGAAATTCAGTCCATATTAATCAACACATTACTCAATTACTTAAAAACGTTTTCAGTTTTAATTAATATAAATCATTTGTCAAGCAATTCAATGAATACCGTCGTCCTTGCTGAAGAAGAAGAATACAGTAAAATTTATTATTTGAAACCAGTAATTACAAGCTATAAAAATAAATTAAATAGAAAAATATGGTTTCTTTCAAAGAATGGCATTGAGCATTCAGAATCTTGAAAAGGTAAGGTAATTGTAACCATTACTTTATTTTCAGTATGATGTGAAGAATTGAATAATAAAATAAAGTAAACTGATTTCTTTAAATCGCTAAGAAAGAGGCAAAGTACTTTAAAAAAAAAAGGCAAATGAAGAGGGAGTTGTTATGTGATTTAACTAAAACTTTATGAAAAGACTTGGAATAATAGTGAATGTTTATTTGTGAGCATTCACTTTTTTTAATTTCAAAAGAACGTATTTTGTGTGGTCTGTCACTGATGTTTTTGTAACAGGTTATACTAAAATTACATAATATAGTAGGCACTAAATTCTCAGAAATATCATTGCATTAAAACGAAAACATTGTTGTCGGGTTGTGATTCTATATATTTCCTCTAATAAAATATTAAGAATGATAAAATATATAGATTCACAATTTGACAACGATGTTTTCGTTTTAGTGCAATATTTCTGAGAATTAAGTGCCTAATATTATGGAATTTTAGTGTAATTGAATTTATTTGTGTGTACAGAGATTTTCCAGCATTCGAACATTCATTTTAAAAATAGTGTTTACCAATGTTATTTCATCTAACTACAAAAACATTCAATCGGCATTTTCCTTGTAAGCATTTCATCATCATGAATGAGATCCGGCCTAGTTTGGAAAAATGTGAAGTTAATTTACAAGTCCTAATTATGTTTTCATTAGTGAGTACATAAGTATAACTGAAAGTTGCGAATTGTATGAGGCTCTGAAAACAGATCTTCAATACATTCTTGTTGAGAAAAAATGCCAAAACAGGTAGATTTTCAATTCAAGGGGGTATCTTTCTAGTATAACCTCAACTGTCGAATAAAAAAAGTACTTAATGTGACATATCATTAAAAAGGAAATTTTAGTAGAAATTCGTAAGACTCTTCCTCTACGTAACTTGTCATTTGTCGGCTTTTAGTGGGAATACTTGTTTATTCCAAATGAAGATTATGTGAACAGGATATAACAAAAAGTTTTAAAATGTACATTTTATTAACCCAAAAAATGTGAAACAATGCATGATTTCAAAATGCAATAATTCACAGTAGATGCTCGAACTATTCTCCATTGAATAGCAAACATGAGTATAAGTTAGTCTTGAAACGCTGTCTTACATTTGGAACAGTTCGAAGACGCCATCTACGGGATCGACAGAAGACTCAATCCCCGAATATCAAGGATAAACGAGGCTCCCCAAGGCGGTCAATCGCAAAGCCAAGATTCGACATTGACTACTGAACGAGACTCGTCCTCTTTTTTCACTGCAGCTTTTACTGCAAGCTAGCTGGCTGGATTTGTGATCCAATACCAGACAGCACTGTTTCGATCCACCAGGTCTCATCAGTGGTGCAAGGCTAAATCACTGAACTGTCGTAAAAAACAAAAAAACAAGCCTAAAAAGTAAATGTTAAGAAGTTACTTAATGATATTTTTTTCCAAAACTTTCCTGAATCGATAGTGCTGAAACTTCCTGCAGTATAGTGTATTTTGCTCACATCATATGACAGAACTGATGAACAAACAATATTTGACTTTATTTTTTTCTTGTTTCAGTTTATCTTCACCTGGAAACTCAGAGCCACATCTATACTCCCAGTGATTGCGAAACTTCGTTAATACCAAACAAACTGTGAATAATTTATAAGTGCCTCGTTTCGTTTGTCGATTGTGATCTTCATTGTAATGAAAAGTGATATTATGTATAATTTAAACGTAGACCTGGCAAAATCGGCGGCCAACGCCGTCAATACCCTCCTGGTGGAAAGCACCAACACAACTCCACGCACTCCGGAAATCCTAAACTCCCTCATAGCCATGACAAATCCGTTAGATGGCTATAACTTCGGAGACGCTGCCAAAAAAAACTCTAACCTGAACATGAGCAGCGACTCGAATAGTTCTTGCAGCAGCCAAGTAGAGTCACCAACTACCAATCCGCCCAGCGTACAACACACGTGTTCTCAACTGATAAAAGCTGGACTCAAACTGACGATCGAGCAAAAACGAAAACAACTTAGCGACGGGGAAGACCTCCTGGATCTGGACATGGTGGCCAAGGTCAGGAAAATCGAATGCAGCGAATCGGAGGACGACAGGATCAAGACGGAACCTGGGGTAAGCCACAGTTCTTCACATGTGAGATTCAGAAATAAATAAAAATAACCAAGTTTAATGTGCTTTCACTACGAATGGTTTATTAAATCGCGACCGTGTTTCATTATACAATAACGTCCTCAAGCAGGACTACTGCATATCTGAAATCTACTGGAGAAATCCAGTAATTAAATATGCAACTATCGCATATTTAATTACAGTGTATTTTGTTTAAAAAAATAGTTCTGAAGTAATCATGAAGTAAAATATACGTGAATAAAATCTTCCAGCGGAAAAAATGAGGGATAGGGGTCTCACTGAGATGCACTGGTCTCACTTTTATGATGCACTGGTTGGAATCTTTGGTGCATTGATGAATATTACTGGAGTTTTTTCCATTAACGATTTGGTGTTGGGAAAAACTCCAGTAATATTCATGTAAATTTTTGATAATACGAGTCGTAGTTGAGTTGGGGATCAGTCACGATACTTCGATATTTCCCATAATAAATATTGCACTGTTAATTTTTCTTGGTTTCTATGATCACAAACACACAATTGAGTTGCTGAATGTTTTGAAACAACTACACAAACAAGATAATTAGAAAGTAGGGATGTATTCGAACTCAAGCCAAAGTTCAGCTTGACTCGCAGTTCAATTCGAAATCGGGCCGAGCCGCAGAATTTTTCTCGGAGCCGCATTCATTCGAGTCCGAGTTAGCAAACCCGACATTACATATCGATCCCGAAGGTAGTAAACTGGTGATCAAAGCATTATCTTATAATAAAATTCACTTTTAAAATTATCTCCATTCTTACAAAGTTCTCAATTCCAAATGCTCGAAAGAAAACCGCACACTAAAGTTACTGTAGTAAAATAACGCCAAAATTCAGAAACTAATATACACATTCATCAGCTATGAAGTAATTAACACTCATAAAAGGATTTGGAAAAGCTGAATACACTTATTTGAATTAATGAATCAAAGAGGTTTTGTATTAAAGTGTATAATATATTAAAATTCTTGCAAAGCGCTTTCGACTTTTGTCATCATCAGTGCTCACCTGAAAGTAAGTGATCTGCCTGACAAGTAAGTAATCTCAAACAATTTTTCCAAATTTCTTAACCTTAAAAATTTTACAACTTCAATTTCACTAAATTCCCTTTTCAACTAGATCACTTACTTTCAGGTGAGCACTGATGATGACGTAAGTCGAAAGCGCTTTGCAAGAATTTTAATATATTATACACTTTAATACAAAACCTCTTCGATTCATTAATTAACACTCATTTCTACAACATTTTAATTTTTCAAAACGTTTCTTGTATCGCTTTCGAAAGCGTACATTTTGGTGCTAGGCAATTTTCAACCTCGATATCATGTTACCTTTTATATCTACCTTATATAGGTATCTACCATGAGAATGTCAAGCCCACTTCTCGTCCCCTTTGAGATAGTAATTTCAAAACCTATAATGAAATTGTTGTCGTTTTATATTTAGTAAAAAGTGTCGGTACCAAATTCGAATGTTTAACAAAGGATCTAAAATTGTAATTGTGATTGTGATAGCGGGTACAACATTTAATTCGAATAAAGAGGGGAGATGAGGCGGATATCGATACAAACATAAAAATACTACAAATATTTTAGCTATTGCCTACAAGAGCCAATGATATTCGGGTATTATTGTTTTTTCAGAAGATGTTCTTATATGTTACGCTTACTTTCTTGCTATGATTTTTTTGACATATCAATTGAAAAACAAACCTAACTGTAAATTCATAATACTTCACTCAAATAAGTGTTTAGATCTGAACAATTTTTGCGGAAAACCGAAGTACTCTTGATTTGTTGAATTTTATGTTGGAGTATAATTGGTAGATCCACTCAGCATATGGTTTTGAAGAAGAAGAATAAAAAATTTGTGTATTTTTGTATGCATTGATTAATGGCATATAAATAGATATCCAATCATCCACATTTCACTTCTTTCATTACTGTGCATCAACAATTGAAGGAAATAGGGTCCTTTGAATTCAGTAAACACCATTGGGGTACGAAGAGAACAAAAGAAAATGTTACGGAAGAACAAATTCTTGAACAATTAGCAGCAGATCCTTCCATGAGCACTCGGGCCAAGGTATGATTTATAAGTGTCACAATCAATAGTAAATCGGGTAGCACGTGAACATTTATTGTACCCATTTCGCCTCCAGCAGGTCATGGCCCTAGATGCTGGTTATTATGGCCCTCGTAGATTTGGTGAATGGTTTATGAGGATGCACGAAGAAGCAAACGACTTTTTTTTTATTCACGGATGAGACAAGTTTAACAAGAAAAGGGTATTTCAATAGAAGGAACAGCCTTTTATGGGTTGAACAATATCCGCATGGAATGTTAAAAATAGGCTACCAACAGAAGTTTTCAGTCAGTATTTGGGTAGGAATTATCGAAAATCATATCGATGGACCATATCTTCTCTCTCTCCGTTTGAATGGACAGAACTACTGAGTTTTTCTTGAACATATTTTACCTGTGCTACTTGAAGAAGTTCCTCTATTGGTTCGTCAAAGGATGTGGTTCCAATATGACGGAGCACCGGCCCATTTTCAACGAATCTTTCCATCAATGTCTTGATAAAACATTCCAGGATCGGCGGATAGGTGGACGTGGTCCCATACACTGGCCTACACGTTCTCCGGATTTAACGTCCCTAAAATGTTTTGTGGGAATACATTAAATCCCTGGTGTATTCGACATCTGTAGAATCTGTTGAAGATTTAACAGCAAGAATTTTTGCAGCATGTAGGTACCTGCGTTAATACATGATATACCAGAAATATTCCAAAGCGTGCGACAGTATATATACAGTGCTTTTCAGATAAAAGTATCCACCTTTAATAACTTTTGTAATACTGGTATTTAGGAAAAATCCAAAAACACGTCAATTTATGTTGGAAGGTTCAAGCATTATGGCTTATTTAAACTTACTGGAAAAGCCACTCCCTCACCCCTAGCATCATCCCTTTTTTTTAAATTACTTCTCATATTTTTTATGTAAAATTTGGATACTCCTCTTTGAGCTGATTTCAAAAATGTATAATACTTGTAGGTTAAAGTGGTTAGTTTATGAGATAAACAATTTTTCTTTTAATAGCACAAATTTTACTTATTTTTTACTTTCACCTTATTTGCCTGTAATAAAATGGGTTGTACAACAGTTCAAACTTTTTAATCTTTTTAACTGTGCTATTTATTATGAAGTTACAATAAGTGTTCAAAATGAGTACCAATCACTTCCATACAATGGTATAATCTATTTTGAAATGCCTCTCTGACATTGCTTAATACGGCTGGATTTAATTGTCGACATTCATTTTCTATCCTCTCTCGTAAATCATCCAGAGATTCTGGTTGGGTAGCATAAACTATTGTTTTAAAATACCCCCATAAAAAGAAGTCTAGGAGTATTAAATCCGGTGACCTAGGTGGCCACTCCATCATCTGCCCTCTTCTACCTATCCAACGAGCGGGAAATGTTTCGTTTAAAAATTGTCGGCCAGGCATAGCATAGTGTGGGGGAGCTCCGTCTTGTTGAAATACCAGTAAATCTTCGGAAAGGTTATCATCATTTTCTATTATTGTTGTAATACGTGGGTTAACCCCTTCCCTGAGTAACTCAAGATATGATTCACCATTTAAATTTCCGTTGATGAAGAAAGGTCCGACAATGTGGTCACCTAGAATACCACACCAAACGTTTAACTTTTGGGGATGTTGTGTATGGAATTCACGCATAATATGTGGATCACTTTCAGCCCAATATCTACAATTATGCCTATTTACTAAGCCATTTAATGAAAATGAGCATTCATCAGAAAAGCAAATATTGTTTAACAATTGTGGATTGTTATTGATAAATTGCGTCATTGATTCGCAAAACTCTAGACGACGATCAAAATCATCTTCATTCAACTCGTGCACCAACTTAACTTTGTATAGGTGGTACTTGAATTTATGTAGAACTCGGAAAACTGTAGAAGATGAAACACCGATCGCTCTACTTATTGTTGACAACGATTGGGGTTGTTGAGCCTCTAAGCTGACTTGCCCTAAAATTGCCACTTGGATTGCTTCGTTATTTACGAGTCTCTCTCGCTTATGCACTTAATTGCAAACAGACCCTGTTGTGGTAAATTTCTCCATCAGTTGAATTACATACTTATGAGATGCATGTCTTCCGTCATGTAATTCGTTAAATATTCTAGCAGCAGCTCTTGCACAATTATTATTTTGGTAGTATAAACCTACAATTTCAATTTTTTCTTGCAAAGAGCAAACCATTTCAGCGAAACAAACTAAATAATGTATCAAAGTACACTATCAATAGTGACTACAAATTCTAGTTGACAATGTCTAAACTTTAATAAAAAGTAGAGTTTTTTGTTTTTTGGATTTTTGAAGTAGAATAAATAGCACAGTTAAACAGATTAAAGAGTTTGAACTGTTGTACAACCCATTTTAGTACAGGCAAATAAGGTGAAAGTAAAAAATAAGTAAAATTTGTGCTATTAAAAGAAAAATTGTTTATCTCATAAACTAACCACTTTAACCTACAAGTATTATAC